CGAGAGTATATGGACAAGAAGACAAGCAAACAATTGGAAGAAAAAGAAAAGATGATGAAAAGCTGCTGGTGAAACTTAGCTCCTAGGAAAGGTCCCCTATTCCACTAAAAAAAAACTATTATAAGTCACTCGCTACTTTAAGCCTTTCACCAGGGTCATGGAGAGAATCAACAGACTTCATGTCAACGGGAGCCCTCAACATGGTTGGAGCCTGCAGCCTGGGGCAAGAGGCCTCCTATACCCAGTCTTGCCAGGAGATGGCAGTGTTGCCTTATCAGGTGCCTCTCAGTTCAAGGGAAACTTTCCTCCACAAAGGGACCGTCCTGGAGGGGTCTCCACTTTTCTTCCTTCTCCAGTAACATTCTCTGGAGAGTTGGCCAGTTGAGTCCAGTCAGCATCCACCCTGAACTTAGTGGTTGCTCAGGTAGTGTTTTTCCTGGACCAGCACAACAGATAAGCAGGCAATCCCTGGAAGGGGTTGCCTAGTCTGCCCTTGACTCTGTTTACCCCCAACCCATCTACCACCACTCACTGGGCTGGGCAGTGGGTAGACAGTTTCAGGGGTATTTCCAAACCCAAATGCCTCTGTAAGTGGATTGTTTCTGTGGATGCTTTGGGATCCAATTCCAGTGTTATGTAAATAATGTTCTCAGGCTAGCTCACAGAACCCTGACCATTACAGAAATAGGTGAGCTTCTTTATAAAATTATAAGGGCAAAGATAGAAAAGAATACTTCTGAAGTAGTACTGTAAATCTTAAGTTATAATTCACTTGGCTTGTCAGCTTTTTAATTTTTAAAATGATTTGTTTTAGACTTTATTTTATTTTGTATGCACATGTGTTTTGCCTTCGTATATGTGCATGCACCAGTACACGCCTGGTACCTATAGAGGCCAGAAGAGAACATTGGATGCCCTGAAACTGAAGTTACAGATGGTTGTGAGCTGCCATGTGGGGCTGGGAGCCAATCCCGGGTCCTCTGCAAGAACAGCAAGTGTTCCTGACCCTTGAGCCGTCTCTCCAGGCCAGTATTGTAAGTTGAAACAAAAATAAACTAATACAGTTCTTTGTTTTGGCTAGTAAAGAGCTTTAGGTTTAATTAGGGGAGGCCAAGGAGGCGGGGCTTGCTGTGGAACACATGAAAAAGACATTTGGAGACTTACAGACTGATGACCAGACCCATGAAGCTCCTGGACAATGACTGTGCTCTCCATTCTGAGCCTGGGTACGCTGGCTTCTTTTCTTAGGGTCTCATTTTCCTTCTTTATGAAGCAGGAATCAAATGTGACCATGAGTGCCCCTTACGTGCTACAAGGCCCTTTGGAGTGGTGGGTGGGGCGTTTGGATCTTGAGGCTTTGTATTGTCATCCCAAACTTTTGACTCTTTTTTTTTTTCCTCAATAGGTGTCTAGAACTAGCCAGTTTCAAGGCTGGTTTTCAATGAATGGTCAACGGGATGATGAATGGAAGAAAGACAAAGGGGAGTGAAAGCCAAGCGCATAATTTGATTCTCTCCTACTGAGGTTTGATTTCTAGAACACAACCCATGTTTTTCCTTCTAGTCACATTAACAACGCTTAACTTGAGCACTTTCCATAAGCCGGGCCCTGTGCTAAATGTTTTATGTGCATTTTTCTGTTTAATTTTTGAAGATGAGTCTTAATAGGGAGGTTACAGCACTCAGTAACAACTTGTGTGGGCATCAGGATCTGGATCATCCTAGTCTTGAATCCTAGCCCACGATGCCCAGGGACTCTCATCCTTTCTACCAGTCGTGGCCTCCCTCCTCAGTTCACCCCAGTACAACTAACTCTTTGTTAGCCTGACCTGATGCCAGCCTTGATATGTGCGTCCCTCTGGGACAGCAAGGAACACACTGTATTGTAGTGGTCTGTTCCTTTAGGCAGGTTGTGACCCCTCAGGACAGATTCTCATAACTGGGGATCGGTGGACATGGTAAACGCTGAAATACTTTCATGTGTATGCCCTGCCATTACTGAATAAAGTGTGATACTTGTCCCCATGGAAATCTGAAAACATCTCAATAAGTTGAACCTATGGCTGTTGTTCAGTCTTGTTTGCCTGTGACTTTGAATTCTAGAATAATTCTAAGGCCAAAGGGCAAGCAGCCAGCAGAGTACTCCAATGAGCTGAGAATGCTAATGGATGATTGCATTGTGTAACTCCATCTTCTCACCTGGAGTATTGGGCGGGCCCGGGCAGGTAGAGCTGAGGGGTCTGGCAGGTAAGCTGTGGCCCTCTGGGCAACCCCTCCTCTGCACTGGAAAGTTTTGCAATGTCCTGGAGGAATGAATAGTGGGCTGACTCAAGACTCTGCTCCCTGGTTGTTGTGGGTGTGTGGAGACAGGAGAAGGAGCTCACCAATCACCCGACACTGTGAAAGAGCCTGCTTTGGGCAAGACAGCAAACACACAGCTGTGCTGTGGGTCTTCCTTCTTGAGCTGGCATTAAGACAGCACAGCTGTTCACCAACATTTGACTACTCTTCCCACAAGATGCTAGCCCCATGCTGTTGAGGGTGGTGCTCCTACCCATGGGGTGGCTATTGAGCACTTGAAATATGGCTGGCATAATCGAGCTCCGGACTTCAATTTGATTTAATTTTAGTGGCTGGTAGCAGTAGACCGGGCAGTGCTGATAGAGAACATTTCCAATATCTTGCTTCTGTTGGCCAGCACTCTAGGTGGCTCCTATTTTAATGACAAGCTAAGCATGGTTGAGAGAGGAATCAGGAACATCTAGATCACTTCATTTCTTAACTAGTGCAAAGTTGTGGTAGGGGTCCTTGATCCTTAGTTTCCCAGCACCAGATTAACCCAGAAGTCCTATATATATATATATTTTTTTTTACATCTTTAATATTTCTTCCTTTTCCTATAAGAAGACACTGGTCAACTTCACTGGAGAAGCGTTTTCTAAGTGTCTCCAGGGAACATCAATATGTTTTTCTGCAGCCATCACGGCCCAGTTCAGTCTCCAAGGTTGCCTGCTTTGCACAGCGGGGAGAGATGCTGCATTCCTGGTCCTTGGACCTGAGATCCTAGGAGAGCATTGACCAATCAGGGAGAACCTCTCCATCCATCATTTCTGAGTGAGAATAATATCTCAGGGACATGACAGCAGGAACTCACTCCAACATGCAAGGAGGGTTTCCATTTCAAAATATTTACTTCAATAAACTTTACATGTTTGAATTTTATAGAAAAAGCCACTGACACATACTGTACAACTTTGATCATTTATATGTTCTTCTCAAAAAGTGACTGCCCTTTCTTTACATTTTCCTGTTCTTTTTCCTCTTCCCAGGAACTCAAGAGAATCCATTGAACAAAAGAATCCATTGAACCTCTCTGACTGTAGCTGAGTGTGATCAAGGTAAACCAGAAGTCCAGAATGGGGGGGACCCCCCTCCCCAAGCCTGTACCCGTTTAGAAGACCTCTTCTTTATGAAAAATTTTAGGAGATTTGTTTTATGAGTGTTTTGCCTGCATGTATACATGTGCACCACGTGTGTGTCTGGCACCCGGATCTTCTACAAGAGTAGCGGGTGCTCTTGACTACTGAACCATCCCTCCAGTCCCCCCTCCCCCGAAGCCTTTTATGTTCTCCATTAATTTACCCTGAGCACCCTGCCCCCACCCCTTGGCTGTATCTCTGGGATAGACTGTGAGGGGGAGAACGTGGAGTGTCATGAAGGAGTGATGAAGGGAGAGGAAGCAGTAAGAGAAGAACAGAAAAGACTGAAGCAGGGATACAGGACACCAAGGTCTGCTTTGGGCTGCTGCTCCCCAGCATCCATGTGAGGGCCTATCACACCACGGGCCCTGCCCCATCCCAGTGTTCTAGAAAGGCTGTCAGAGAGGTTATGACAGGAAGGGGTCAGGAAGCAGCGATCCAATTGGGCTTGGGACTCCTGGATTCCAGGGAATGGAAGCAACTGAGAATTGACTTTCTGGGTGTTTCGTGACAGGAACTGGCTCAAGTCCATTCGATTAGAACACTGTAGATACACTGTGCCTGGAGACAGAGGCCTTGTTATGGCGTCAGTGACAATTGACTGCTGTCTTAATTCAAACTGGCAGCCAGTTGTCACGGAAACCATGTTATTTGTGTGGTCTCTGATCCTGGTGATCCATTCTTGAGGACTGTTATCTGACATCCCGTCTCTGCTGTCTGGCTCCACCTCTACCCCAAGTCTTTTGTCTTAGGGTGACCGAGAGCTAGAGGTGGGAAGGGCATCTGGTGGATAGCAATTGGCAGAGAGGGGAGTGTGGCATGGGGAGAAGCCTGGCCATCCTGTGACATGTGAAGGCCAGTCAGGGGCACCACAGCAATCTTTCCATGAGACAAAGGGGCAAAGAATCAGGAAGTGCTGCTCTGGTCAGTGGCCTGTGTATGGAAGGCCTGTTTGCCTAGTGACACCAGGGTTTTGTAGGATGGCAGAGCGAATATGACTGCTCTGTCTGTTAGAAGACCCAGGTGTAAGAGCCACCACTAGACTGCCACCCTCTGATGGCATGGAGTAGAATCTTGAGCACCAGGTAACCCACGTGAGCAAGCAGACCTCAGCTTCCATGCAGTCTCATCACATTCAGGGATTGTTCTCACCACTGTAATGTCATAATTTGGCTATGGCATTAATTAGATGGTGACTTGCCACTTTCCATAATGGTCTCCATGGGGGAAATATTTAAAGAGCTCCCCAGTAGATGTACAAATGAGCTGTTAGAGTACAATCCACTTCCAAGTTGGGAATTCTCTGCCTTCATAACATGGCGACAGTATAATCAAAACACCAAGCAGTTCATTCTCTTAGCTGTAGCCTGGAGAGGAACGGCTCTCCCCGACTCAGAACAGATCTTATGGGCATGTCCTCAGGTACCACAGGGCACATATGGCAACACAACCCTGGTCTCAATACCTAGTCTCATCTTTTGTAGCAGTTAGTGGGGGTATCTTAAAAGAGCAGGTCACTTGGTGGGGAACCATGAGGTATTACAAGTTTATTCCTAACATGATTGTACATCCATCCACAGTTATGAGTACCTACTGTGCACAAGATACTTGCCTGAGCATCAACATAAATAACAACGAACACCTTTACAGTTTAATCATTCATTTAAACCATGGCTTCTATATCCCACCTCCAACACACCATGCACTGCTATAAAGCTCAGGGGATTGCTTCCTGGGTGTGTGCTGTCTTTGAGACCGGACGTGTGATGACCTCACATCTTTCCTTTTGGAAAAACCTTCATCCACACAGAACATAGCTAGCTTATGTGGGGCATCTCCTTACCCTTTCTGTCTGTGTCTACTTTGCATGGGCACGTAACTGCAGCCCATGGAAGAGATCACATGAGTTTCCATAGCTTTCTAGTAGTTACTGCCAAGAGCTGTTCATCGCTGCTTAGAAGAGGGCACCTTGCTGAGTAGTAATGGGGTAATGTCCCCGAGAGGTCTTGGACCACATTAGACACCTGCCAGTGGTAATGAGGACCTTGTTGTGAGTTGCAAGCAAAGAGCTTTGAATGGATTTGGAACCATACTTTAAACTTTTAGGTACAGGTAGAAGTTCAGAAGCATATAGGAACCACTATCTATGTCTGTATTAATAAACACTGGGGTGTAAGACTGTACCAGGTTCCTGGAATGTCCAAATGTATTCCCGGTAAAATACTATGTAGGTATAGGAAGAGGAAAGCACCCATCTCCAACCTGAATGGCATATAGATAGTGCATAGAGCCTTGCATGGATATTTAATTATGCCTATGTGCCTAAATCTGGACATAGCTTCCCATAAGACATTTCTGCAAGTATGTACATTTGTGCAAAGTACATATTAAATGGCCACATGATAAACAGAATATACTGTTCCATGTACCTGTTGTCCAAATATACATACATACAATGGCCATGTGCATCTACTCGGACTCCATCTAAAGTGCATGTATACATGTTTTCTGTGCTTTTGTGATGGAGTATACCAGAGACAGTGTAATACATGCTTGGGACTACAACAGAGAGCACTGTTACTGGACACGTAGCTGCCAAGACAGTGTAAAATTGTCCATACGCTCCTATCCAATGGGATGCTCAGTCTGACATTTGTTCCTTGGTTGAAGTAATCTGTAGGCATGAGTGCATCACTGTTAAGGCTCCTCCTGAGTCTCTGTGGTTGGAAGGAGGCTGGGCCCAGAGGGGAGGACACTGAGCTTCCCATCACTAGATAGGCAGTGATGGCCTCTTCTCCATCTGGAGGAGCTTGGGCTGAGCAGAGATCCAGAGGTCTTCATCCTTCTTCTTTTTCTTCTTCTTTTTCTTCTTCTTGTTTGGGTCTGGCTGTTGGCCGCTCTTGGGTGGCCGGCTGCAGCAGCAATGGCAGCAGACGAAGAGGAGTGTAAGGACCACCACTAAGGGCAGCCCCAGGAGGACAGCCAGGCAGACGGTGTTGAAGACGCCCCTTTCGTGTCTGGTCCGGATGGTTTCCCAGATAGAGTTGAAGAAGGAACTGTTTCTCTCCATGGTGCTGGGCTAGTGCGGGGCCAGAGGATCCCAGTTACCTAACAAGCCCCAGACTCCACAGAACACAGTGCTGGCCGCTTGTAATTGATTCCTCTTTTGGCTTCGGGTTTGGGCATGCCACCAGGAGCACCTGGAGAGAGTAAAACAGACAATTCAAGGGAAGTGCAGAGGAATGGTCCACCATTTTCACAGTGTCAGTGGCTTTAATGCTTAGAAAGGAGAAGGAATCAACAGTTTGCAGAATTTATTGAAATTACATTGACTCAATAAACAAAGTGCATGTAATGAGTCAATAACCATTAACCTGTTCTCATAATGTACACACATGCTATTGGGCTTAGGATAAAAGAATTAATACTATAGCAGACCTGGTACACACTAGGTGCTCAGCAGTTGTTGGATAAATTAATCAGTGTGTATACCATGTGTTTTCTGGTTAATTCTCACCTTATGCCCTCTAAAGTGACAAGCCTCAATCTTTTGTCAACTGTCGTCCACCTGGCAGGTGATGAACGTGTACTTTCCATATGATAGCTTTGTGCGTAACTCCCTAGGAACACAGCTTATCATTTTAGATGCTCCCTAAAGCTTAAACACACGATGAGATTTCCTCTACCTGGCTAAGAGGTCATCGGTCCTCATCTTGCCACATCCCTGCCACCCTGGGTGCTTGCTCTATTCTCCACTCCCTGTCTCCTCTTCTCTTTATACCACACTTCTGTGTCTGGTCCTCTCTGCTTTCCATTTCCATCTCCCCTTCTCTTTACACAACACCTCTGTATCTGGTCCTCTCTGCTTTCTACCCTCTCCCTCTTTCTCACCCCACTTGCTACGTCCAAGCAAACCCTCTCAATCTCCTCCCTACCTGTTCCTTTTTTCTGCACAGAGGGAAACCTAACAGCCCCCTGAGAACTGATGCTTGGGAACAGGCATGGGGCCCCTGTTCCAAACCTAAGAGTCAGGGACCATCTTCCTATTATTCTTGGACAAGTAGATTCCCTTTCTTCATGCCTCTACATCCCCACACATATCTTAGGGAGCAGCTCTCAGGTGTAGACTCTCAGAGGGTCCCATGGATTCTGGAATCCACAGGTTCCTGTGTTTAGAGGTGACTTTGGGAACAGACATGATTCAGAAAAATTGGGGAGACACCTTGCTGTATAACACATTACCCTGGACTCGAATATCAACAATAACTGACTTTCAGGCTGGAAACTTCTGGCTAGTTCTTTCACTTAAGGATGACAGATGTGAGTGAGGTCTGGAGTGGTGAAGAAGATGTCTGCTGTGGGATGGTCTGTATGTCAAATTGCTCTGATTGGTCAAGAAATAAAACACTGATTGGCCAGTGGCTAGGCAGGAAGTATATGCGGGACTAACAGAGAGGAGAAAAGAAAGAACAGGAAGGCAGAAGGAGTCACTGCCAGCCGCCGCCATGACAAGCAGTATGTGAAGATGCTAGTAAGCCACGAGCCACGTGACAAGGTATAGATTTATAGAAATGGATTAATTTAAGCTATAAGAACAGTTAGCAAGAAGCCTGCCATGGCCATATGGTCTGTAAGCAATATAAGTCTCTGTTTTTACTTGGTCGGGTCTGAGAGATTCCTGTGGGACTGGTGGGTTAGAGAGATTTGTCCTGACTGTGGGCCAGGCAGGACCAGAAAAACTCTAGCTACAGATGTCTGAGGCTACATGGAGTTGTAGGGAATGTCCAGAATTTTGGATAATGAACCTAGCACCCTCCCAAGGATGCTGACAAGCAGAGGATGATAATGATGTAAATTGTACAGCACTTTACCTGACACTTTGCTGACCAACAGGGTTTTTACATGTCAGTCACTATAGGCTTGAATTTATAATCATCCAGCCATAGACTCCTGAGTGGTTGGGGCATGTTGTCTTTTAAGTGAGTAGTAGGATGGTGCTGTGACTGTGGACGGGTGTACCAGAAGGCTTGTGTGTATCCTGAGCTCCAAATTCCAGTTTAGTTCAGATTTGGTTCTGCTGCCTGGAGGCTAAAGATGTGCTCTACACACAGTGGTAGGTTATAAGGTGCCCTGGAGGTTGTCCTAGAGGAGGTTTAATTCCTTGGATAACATGCTTTATAATTGTCCCATATACTCAGGGGCCATATGCCCATCTCACCTCCACCTGGCCTGGTCTGCTGACATTTGGCCTCAACCCAAGTGGTATTATTTGCACAGTTTTTGCAGTTGCACAGATTGGCACCTATTACTGTACCCCATGGCCCACAGGAACTGCAGTAATGCTATAAAAGTACGACAATGATTTTAGCCTATGTTTTCAAAGAACTTATTATGTGCCAGGCATTGTTCTAGGCACATTCTACCCATTAATTCACTTCACACTCACTGACTCATTATTACCTTATGCAGCAGATGTGATCATTCTCCATCCTTCAGCTAGAGATGGAGGCACAAGTCACAAGATACATGAATGGCAGAGCTGGACTTACTCATTCTGGGAAGTTTGGCTCCAGCTCTCCAAAGAGTGAACTATTCACAGGCATTGCTCTGGGCCTCCTAGTCCTTTGTATGGAATTAACCCATTTTTGGCAAGCAGCCCAGGATTTGTAGAATGTTAGAATCCTTGGCTATTCCTCAGACTGACTTAAGCATTTATCCCATTCTACTGTCTGCAAAGAGATTGATTTCTCAGTGTGAGACACTTCCCCAAAGCACAAAGAGACCCAGAACAAAACCCAACTCCTTCCTAAGTGCAGGTTTACAGAAAGTGTAAGCCCAAATTAAAATTCAATATGCAACCAAGTAATAAGTACTCTAGAAAGCCATGTCCTCTCACTGGAGGCATTGCCTGAGCCCCTGGGAGGGCTGGAGACACCCCATGATGTGGGTCTGCCAATACACCATTGCATTCCAAGATTCCAGGCTCCCTGGAGAGAAAAGCAACCACCGATGCAGCTGTAACTCCATAGGTGCCCCCCTACCCACATGCCATAACTCCACAGCGCCCCCCCCAGCCACACACATATAAGCCATAACTCTATAGGTAACCCCTAGCCACACAGACAAGCCATAACTCCACAGCCCCCACCAGTAACATACACAAAAGCCATAACTCCATAGGACCCCCCCAAAACCACACACATAACACACACACCCTAACTCCACAGCCCTCTTCTGCCACACATACACACACACACACACACATGCCCTAACTCCATAGCCCCACCTCTTGACACACACACACACACACACACACACACACACACACACACACACGTCATAACTCCATAGCACCCCCAGGCTCCCTCCACATAAACCATAACTCCACATCCCCAAGCCCCTCACACACATAATGCATAATGCCCACAGCCCCCCTGCCCTCCCCACAGAAGCCATAACTCCACACACACCCCCACTTCTGCCATACACACACATAAGGATTTCTCCTCCTCTTAATTTCCATTATATTTTCCCCGTGGCCCTTTGCTTTGCCTCAGTCTTGTATATCCAGTATTTTTTGGTTCACTTAGAGCAGTGGTTCTCAACCTTCCTAATGCTGAGACCCTCTAATACAGTTCCTCATGTTGTGGCAACCGCCTCAACCATAAAATTATTTTGTTGATACGTCATAACTGTAATTTGTTATGGTTATAAATCATAATCTAACATCTGATATAGGATGTGGGACTCCCAAGGGGGCTCAACCACAGGTTGAGAACCACTGACTTAGAGCAAATGTTCTGTTCTGTTGTGGGAGGATTCAACTGGTCTCCTCTCACTTGATCCCACACATAGCCATCCTGGGACCAAGGGCTCCTTGCATAGTATCTGTGACTCATCAGTGACACCAAGACCATACTTCCTCATAACCTATTCTGCATCGGGTGGTGCTGGACTCTTCAAGAAGCAGGGCATCAGCAAGACGAAAGGTCCTGAGCCATGGAATAGTAGGGCAGTCTCCAGCCACTTACAGATTCTCTCAAAGATAAATAAGATTTTAATCGAGAACTTTGGGCACAAAGGACATTTAAACATCTCAGGCAGAGAGCAATGTCTAGAACATGAACGGAAGAACAAACTGCTGCCCAATGAGTCTGAAGCTCAGCGTAGGAGAGGAGGAGACCAGAAGAGGAGGGAGAAGGGCGAGCGGTGGCTGGGGCAGAGAACTGGTCTCATGTGGAACTTTGTAGCAGTCACTGAGATCTGAGCTGACATTTAGGAAAAGATCACAGATCTGAAAATCTCTGTAAAATATTGTAAGAGAGCCCTTTATCCAATTCACAAACATTTATTGGACATTTGATTTGTGCCAGAGTCTGTGCTGGGCATAATAGATTCAGCAATGAATGACAAAGTTATGGTTTCTGACACCAGCTTTTAGAGCCCAGGGCAATTATTATTATTGAAGGATTGTGACATAAAAGACAAATATAATAAACAAATTCCAACTTAGATTGCTTAGTTGGCTGAAATAGAAGCATGCATTTGAATTATGTGTTTATCTCAACATCCCAGACTCTCCTATCCCCCACCTCTGTCTTAAACATGTCCATCCCGTGGCACCTAAAATAGCCTTTGAATAAATAGATTTCTTTTCAACTAAAGCTAAGTCAATAATTCACTTCTGCATTCTTAAAGGTACTTGTTAAGAGTCAGCTCTCCACACAGGCAGAGAGAGTACTCATTAACATTTGGGAACCCAGTCTGGGGAAAATTGGATTAAAAGGTATTCTTTATATTTTTTAATCTAAGAATTCTTGTCTAGGCTCCCCAGGTTACTTGCGAAGCACTGCTAATCTATAACATTTCATTAGTATTTATGAGCTTTGTGCTATTAGCATTTTCAAGAAACAATCAAATATCTCCTCAGTGGGATGAATGAAAAGTTAGGGCTTCCATGGGACAGTATGCAAAAGAAGTCACACATTGAGCCAAATGTACTCTGGAAGAGCCTATCTTTTTTGTTACTTTCAAGTATCACTGACATAGAAATGTCATTCATCTATTCTTGTAACGTGAACAATGGGTGCCAATCAATCTTCATGTGTGTGCTTGTGGGGGTGAGCTTGAAAGAGGGAGAGAATGGGGGAAGTTTCCTTCAGTTCCCTAGAAACAAAATATTATTAATCTCTACACTCCT